AGTCATCAATCTATCACCTTCAAACCATGTGAATTTAATTAAAATCAAGAAGCAATCCAAAATATGCTGACAGTAAATAAACTTTTCAATAAGGATATTTACCATTTACAATGGGGGCTTAAAACAAAGTTAAGACAAGAGGCATAGATAAATATAAGAATTAGAGAAGGTTTCATATGAAGCCAAAAGACGTAGAATGACCAGACAATCGTCAGGAAATTGTTAAATTCAAAAAGAACAAACAAAATAGAAATATTGTAACCCTTGAGTGAGGTAGAATAACATAAGAAAAGAACATAAAGAGAAAATAATAAAAGAAGAAATCTGATTAGGACAAGAGCAGAAACAAAGAAAGGAGATGAGGGATACTATAGTGGAGTAAGAGACTGAGTCAGAGAAAGAAAGCAAAAAGAAAAAAAAGAATTTTCAGAGTAGTATGAAAAAAAGAAAGAAACAAAAATGAGTTTAAAGGGCCTCTTTCAGACTATATCACTGCTGTCATAATATACAATATGTGCTGCCATTTGCAGAGCCGAGTCCCCTGATCTCAGCTAGCTGGTGGCAGAACCCCACAAAGTAGAATGAGCTCGGGCTGCAAGGCCCAGACTGAGTTCCCCGACCTCCTAAAGGGCTGAATTCCACTCAGTTCTACTATAAGTTTCCCCCACCACTTCTTTAAAGATGTTCAAAGTTAAAAGTGCCAGAAAATACTCTTTATGAGCACCTCTGCCTCTACAGAGTAGATCCAAAGATTGATAAAATCAGGAGGTCTAAAAGTGCGAGGGGTAAGGTGGGGGGGGTTCAGGGGGTGCCCATGCGGCTACCTTTCTGGCACTGAAGATAGAGGCAGCGGCACCAGCAGGGGAGGGCCCAGCTGAGAAGACCCTCTGGTGCTGAAGATGTCAGAATGCTATAAATTCTTTATTTGTGGCATTCACTTATACTAAGTTGCCAAATAAATGCATTAATGATCCCAACTATACTCAGCAGTCCCTATAACGTGTACCTCCAGTTCCCTCCACATGAGGCTCTTTTGAAAGCACTACATCAGTGCAGAACGGCCCCCAGCTGCTGGAGCCACTGCAGGCCTTAAGAGTTGCACTGCCCAGTAGGATTCGGCCGTGAGTGGAACAGCGCCATTAGTATGCTGGCTCCTTCCTGTGCCCCATTAACCATTCCAGGAGAAAGAAGAAGGTCCACAGAGCGCCCACTGCCTCCCAGGGCAGAGAGGTCAGCAGATAATTGGACTTTCTTGCTTCTGAGTACAACAGGATGAAGAAGTACTTTGCCACTGCTAAGTTACATCCAGATTAAAATCTTTTTATTTTCTTTTGGTAATGGGGATCAAACTTGGGACCTAGCGCTTGCAAAGCAGGTGGCGGCACCACTGAGGTACATCCCCAGCCCCACATTAAAATCTTAAGGAAACAAAATCACATTCTCTGTTCCCAGAAGAATCACAGTGACGCGGTTCTTTTAAAGGCGTGTTTGTGATTGCTAAAATCATTCTTCTTGTGATGTATTATTTTCAAATAATTATTACCTTTGTAGAACATTTAAGTTAAAAAATGTAAGTTAATTTAAAATTTTGAAACATGCATGTTAAATAATATTCCAGGCTAAAATGTAAGAACTAGGAATTGAAGGAGACAAACAAATGAAGCTAGAGTTTTACAACTGGGAGTTCTACTTCAGATTCTTTGAACCACACACTTGGCAGTGCCCCCACTTCTCATGTGTTTCCATATGCCAGTGCTGTTTGGGCTCAAAATGTAGCCATTATAATAAGATTGGGAATATGTAAAATAGTCCTTACTTTTGTGCCCATCTGATAGAACTAATAGTTTCTGCATACAAACTGATTTGTCTTTCAAGGATTTTTCTGAAATTTATTCATGTTTATGAAATAGGCCAGATGAAGACCACAACCACGCGTAAAGTACTGTGATAATGGAACAGGAGGTAAACACACGTAAGTCTCCTGCTACCAGAGTTGAGAGGAATTGGGGGGCAGAGGTCTAAGATGCTGGACTCTGGTGACGTGGGACCCCCAGGACCCCAGATAGCCCAGCCCCAGAGAGGACTCCCCAGACTCATTTCCTTGGCCACAGATCCCCCATTTCAGTGCCGATTGCCCACCATCCATGTGGTACTTTCATCTTAGAAATCATTTGTCCGGAACCCTCCTCCCGTGGCACGGTGCCTGCTTGCTGCACAGAGCTGGCAGCAGCCTTTCCCAGAGACACACCTGTCACACCGCACCTGGGTGTGCCCGGGCAGCCTGCAGGTCTTGGCAGGGGACCTCACTAACCTCTAGCGAGGGCTGTGCCCTCTGGTGTCCTGAACCACTTCCCTGACACATGGTGAGGAGCAGGTGCCGCCCTGACCGGGGCCACACTGGTTCTGTAGGTGGAACGAGTGGTGGCTACCGCCGTGCTGGCCGCCACATCCTGTGCATGCCAGGGCAGCGTCTTTCTGTGAGTGTGATGTACGCTTCTGATGCTCCTGCTGAGATTAAACAGGTTTCCCTCGGATATGAGTATGAGAAGGAGGAGGGAGGGAAAGTACATAACCCATGTTAAGTCTTATTTTGAATATGTTGAAGAATCTCAGTATGTCTCTGATTTTCTCCCGATTCACCACATTAGTGGCAAGGAGGAAGTGCATGATCCAAAAGCAGTGTGAGTTTTGTGTAGCACATTTACGCGTCTCCGCTTGCACACCCGAGCATGCTGCCACATGCTCCCGTGCTCTGAGCTGCAGAGAGCAAGTCCCTGATGACCAGCGGGGCCTGGGCCTCTCCAGCACCCTGTGTTCCTCCCTTTCAGGCCCAAAGCTGTCATCCCCTTACACTGAGGAGCCTGGGGTCACAGCTTTATTTTACTGTTTCTCCGCAGCATAGAAACTTGTAGTTTTGCCTGATAGATTATTGCCTTGACTCAGCGACAAAACGCCTGGAATCCGATGGATGCTCCTGACGTGAACAGCCAGCCACCATGTGCGTGGCCAGGTGTTAAGGAACTCTGAGAGCAGCTGTCCATCCCACGAGGATGGCTGGATGTTCTTGCTCCCCAACCCAACCTATACAGACAAAAACAGACATGGTCCCAGAGCGTACGATTTAAGGCATTTTCTGACTTACATGACTACATGCGCTTCGGTCTGTTTTCAGGTTTCTGTGTGCTTTCGTTAGGTGTAACTGTACATCTGTGCTTTGGAAGAAAATCAGTACTGGGGCCTAAAAAGGAGCATGAGTTAGAGCGAGGCCGGCCCCGGACTTCAGACGCCAGCTCCCTGTCCGTTGTCCTTTTCTTGTTCTTCAGCAGCCTGGTGGCAGTAGCAAGGATGGGGCTGGCAGGCTGTGCCCAGGCAGAGGAAGTTGGTTAAGAAGTTTGAGTGGCAGCGAGGGTAACATTTAAATGGGATCGGGAAAGAGAAGAGTGCGAGCTCCATGAGCCTCCAGGATCTGTCCCCGCGCTGGCTGCCAGCTGGTCCTTCTGCCGAGGTCCCTCTCGCCTCACTGGTGCCCAGCCTGGGGAAGCAGCTGGGGGCGGTGGTCCCCTTGCTGTGGTCCATGCATCACGTTGCAGATCCTGCCTCTGGGCGCTTGCGGAACCCCTGCTGGTATTGGCATCCACCATGTTCCATTGGATTCTTTCTGCTCCCATCTCCATGACTCTGTAAAAGCTTTGAGGAAAGAGTGATTTATGGCCATGCCCGTAACCTGGTGCCGTGCATGGCCCCTGCAATAACCCTGCACCTGAGTTAACACAGAAATGTGCATATGGGTATCAGAAGTTTCTTGATCACAAGAGTAAGTGGCTTTATTACTCATTTGAATTATCACATATGTTTTAAAGTTTTAAATGGTTCTCCAGAAATAAAACATACCCAAGAGTTTGACTATGTGTCAAGAGTCGCTCCCTGTGCAGGTGTGAGTATACATATTTGTGACTCTTTTGTAAAAGACCAGCTATTTTGAAGAGGCGCTTCTCAGGGTGGGGTACAGCTCAGTGGCAGAGCTTTTACCCAGCACCCATGAGGTCTTGGCTTTGATGCCCAGCACTGCACTAAAACAACAAGCATTTGTCCCAGAAAGCAATGATCCACAAGGCAGTGATGACTGAAGCCCATGCTTTGACCTCTTCTACATTTATGTGACACAGTTTTGTTGAGATTCTTGAACACAGATTAAATAACATAGGGATGAGTGCCTCAGAAAATGCAATTGGAAAACACATGAAACGATCTGAAGATAAACATGAAAACAAATCTAGTAAGTGGAAGGAGGACATGCACAATGTTGAAATGTATAAGAGTTGAACTTTATCTCCTGTCTAAATAAAGCTAGATGCAGCACACACCTAAAATCTCATGGAGCCTATATGTGTATAATAAATATATATTTCTACAATAAAATACCTGAGATAATCAACTTAAAGAGAATAGTCCATTGTGGCTCACGGTGTGGAGGTCACAATCCATGGTCAGCTGGCCCCATTGCTTTGGTGCCTGTGGTGAGGACAACGCACCTCACGGCACAAACAGGTGAGGGGCAGCCGCCGACTCCACTGCAGCTGGGAAGGAGAACAGGTGGATTCCCCTCTCAGAGGGTGCGTCCCCAGTGCCTAGTTCCAGGCCACAGCAGAATCTCGGGCCGAAGTTAACTAAAACGTAGAAGGGTTTTGTGTGGAGTAGGGGTGGAAGGCATCTTGGTCTGGCCTTGTTTCATTTTCTACTTGGAATGACTGTGCATCTCTGTGAGCACCTGTGCTTTCTGATATTTATTCATCAAGAGCAAGCGGAAAACCATTTCTTCCTTAGGTCAACACCAGTTTTCCATTTGCCGATAATAAAAGCCCAAAACCAATAGCAAAACACCTGCCTGGTTTCACCTCACCCGGCGTGGACTCTTATCTGGATATGCAAAGCTGCCTCTCACTCCTGCTGGACGCGTGGCAGTGGGGCCTGTCTGACCCGTAACTCTGTCCTCTCTCCAGTGGCATCGGGAGGAACTGGCCCTGGGCCTCCGGAGGCAGCAGCATCCTGGCGGAATTCGGGACGCTGCATCTGGAGTTCACACACCTGAGCCACCTGTCAGGAGACCCCGTCTTTGCTGAGAAGGTGATGCCCCGTGCTGACTCGTGAGCTCTCCCATGATGGGTGGGGACAGCAGCCGCCCAGGGCTCCTGGGAAGTGGGGGACCTGGAGTTCCTCACATCCCATACCCTGAGACACAGCTTCTGTACGGACTGTGTGAGCCACGCGTGTGAGGGACTTGCAGAGTTTGACGGGAGGCGGGCGTCGAACTGATCTGTGACTGGGGGCAAACCTGCAGCTGTTGGGTAGATTTGCATTCACCTCTTCGCGCACCTTGACATGCACCCCACCTCTGGGTCCCTAACCGCCACTTCCCTTAAGAGCGTCGTCACCCCTGTTGTCTGCCCTTCTTGTCCCCTCTCGCTTGAGCCCTGTCCACCTGGACTTCCCTTCCTGGCACGGCTGTCACCGTGACCAAAGCACTCCCAGCTCCCTGCCCTCCCCGGACCCTGCGCTGTGCTGTGCTGTGCGTGATGCCCGGGGAAGGCCAGCCACCCACCGCCTCCCCTTGTTGGGTCCTCTTGATCCTGGCCTGCACACATGAGAAAGCCCCAGCCCATGCCTGCGCTCTGCGTCACCGCCTGCTGCCCCGCGGGACCCGACTCCTCACCTGCACTGAGCGGTCTGGCTCTCGGGGATCCCCAGCAGTGTGCGGTCCACGCTCAGCCCCAGACCTTAGCTCCCACCCTTGCTGACTTGGTAGGTGACAGCTCCTTGCTCCGGTGGCTCCGACCAGAAATGCTGGCGTCATCCTGCTTTTTTCATTGTGCTTTTCACCTGGGCTTCCTCAGTGGGCTGGTCCCCAGCTGCACACATACGTCCGTGTATACCAGGAAGTCCTTGGTCAGGTGGATCTCGATCAGTGCGACAGTGCTCGCTTGCTGCCGCTATTTTTGTGATCATGAGCTGATGGTAACTGTCTTTGTTCTAACTCCGCAACATTAAAATCAACTCATTTGTCTAAAGTGCAAAAATATAATCCAGAGAGAAAGAATGGCATGAAAATTTTTTCTTCAGTTTTCATAGAAATGTTTCCTTTTCTGCTGTAGGTAATGAATATCCGAACAGTGCTGAACAAACTGAAAAAACCCAAAGGCCTTTATCCCAACTATCTGAACCCCAGTAGTGGACAGTGGGGTCAACGTAAGTCCTTCGGCTCTGGTGGTGCCGGCACGGAGGGAGGAGAGGGAGGGACAGTGGCTGCCGACCCTCCGCTCTTGTGGGCTGGCTGCACCAGCAGGAAACTGGCGTCTCGTCCACGTGGGAGTGCAGGTGCGGGCACAACAAGCACACCGGAAGGAGATCTGTGGGCCTCAGGCCGGCCTGTGGAGAGGGAAACATGTTCCTCTTGTTCCGACAGTGTGGTTTTCACAGAGCAGCCAGGTCCTTCTCCATGTGGGGCTGGGAACTGGAAGCACAAGCCATGCTTTCTGGCCTTCACGTTAAGCTGCCACATAGCTTCTTGACAGGAGAATTACCTTTAATGTGGGAGTGAGTGTCATACAAAGACTTTGATGCTAGAAACCCTGCTTCTGGCTTCAGACGGTTTAGAGCAGGGTCTGCACCTAAGCCGGTCTGGAGCCCTGGGAGGAGATTAAGTAGTAGCTGGAAACAGGGCAGAGTATAAAATGAGCGCCCAGCTCTGGGACAGGCTTTGCACTGCCTTCAGATCTTACTCTGACTGGGAATTTATACTTACACATCACCCTTTGGTGACCATGCCGCACTTTTACTTTGTAAGCACTTTTCCTGAAGAATAACGTGCCTAGGGGAAACATGCTAACATCCACACCTGTGTGTTGGTGGTAGTCGTGAGAGGTCCTGCTATTGAACCCCCAGACTGCCACTGACATCATTGCGGTCCACAGATTCTGCAGGCCCTGGGACCTTCTACAGGCCGTAAGGTCAAATGTATTTTATGAAAATACTAGGACTCTGTGCCTTCCTTGCTGTGCGGACGCTTGCACTTATGCTGCATGTGCAATAGGTGAAACTGCCGGGACCAGCGTGGGTGCCCGGCAGAGCCACGCCGCACAGTGCTCACCCCGCTGTGCTCTGTACCTCCACAAGGAAAAGCCAGCCCCACCTGTGAGCGTTCTCAACGCAGCAGGAAAAGCCCTGCTGGCGTGGTGCGTGCCAGCCTTGTGCTTACGGGAGCGAGGCCGACGTTGGTGTGAGGTGAAAGCACCACACAGCGTCCAGCTGTAGTGCAGAGCAGGTGATGGAGGGGAGGCTCCGTTGCGAGACCCCTGTCCACTCCTGGCTGTCGCTGATTACTGGCTGTCCATGGATGAGCAACTCTTGCTTCCTGGTCACCACCTTTGTGTGGAGGAATAACTAAAAACAGCTGGTTATTCGCACATGAGTAATTGGCAAACATGTCCTCAAAAATGAGCCTGGCTCTTCCAGGACGAGTGACAGAATTTGAGCAATGGCAAAATTCAAGTGTCTCGCTAAACACCAGATTTTTGGAAAACATGGATCCTGCCACCAAGAGCTGACACCAGCTGTCTCCTGAGGTGACTGGTGTTGATACAGTGTGGCGGTGATGTCAACAGTGAACTGTGTCAGCCGTCGGCAGACCTGTGCCGCTCGGAGGCCAGTTCCAGCCGGGGCCAGTGCTGCTGCCGTAAAGGCATGCAGGAGAACAGTATCCACTCAGATACAGGATGGGCCGACAGGTTCTCATGGGACTGAGTACAGAATTTTTTTGGTGTAATTCCTAATTCTACACTGCAACTAACCTTTTAAAAAAAACCTTAACCTTTAAAAAAATCGCTTGTCGAATTTTGTAGTATCAAAGAGAAATATCCACAATCATCTGAAAACATTGTTGAAATACTCTTTTTCCAACAGTAAGACTGTGCAAGGCTGACTTTTCTTTGTGTATTTTGGGCAGGACAACAGCAGTTGATGGAAATTGAGCAAATTCAGGGACCCAGCTATGTTCTGGTCAAGCGAACATTAAGGAGATTCACAAAAATATTAAACCGGGTCATCGTCCCACTATTTTTATGTACTATAACATTCTATGAAAAATATCTCTATATTAACAGTAGATACACTAATTCCTATTTTTAATGAATTAACACAAAGATCTTTAAGTTCTGTTTTATTTTCCAGTATGGTAAATACTGAGAGTGCTCACATCAGCAGTTCATCAGAGTGCTTATTTCTAAGCACGTAGAGTGCTGAGGTACAAAGTGTGAGGACCACCCGAGTATTGGGGTGAACGGCGATGCAGCTCCCTAAGAGGGAGGCTATTTTTGGAGTTCGCATCACAGACTCCAAACGTTAAAGGAAGAAGAGCCCCTATGATTTACTGTTTCATTTCTTTAGGGTGTGGAAGTCACTATAAAGAGGGCCAAAACAGCCAGTTGCAGGGAAACCTTGGCTTCCCCTTCTGGGCCTCCTGTATTCTGTACATTTGGCCGTCTTCCTGGCACAGGGAGTCCTTTCTGTCTGGTCTTGTTGTGGGCAGTCTGCTGATGGAAAACACACGAGATTGATCAGCCTCATGTCCTTCTCCCTCCCCTCCGTCCTGGGTCCCAGCCCCGAGAAGACACGCTTAGTTTTGCTATTCTTTAACTAGGGTCCTGGCCATGTCTAGTCTTTGCTTGGCTGTTTCCTTATCCCTGTGACCTCTCCTTCCTGTGCCAAGGCCCAACCTGATGGCCATTTCTTCCGGAAGCTTCTCCTTCAGTGCCCCGCATGGGACTTGTCAGCATCCACTCCTGATACCTGCTTCCTGTCCTGCCCCGCTGCACTTTGGGTACTTCCTGTCATTACCCCTTTCCCAGTGACTTACATGCATCCCCATCTTCCTTCTGAAAGCTCTGGAGGAGAGTGACCAGAGTGGCACACCTGACAGTCCACCACACGGCGTTGTGGGCCTAGTCTGTGTTTCCCTACTTGAATTCTGCAAAAGACTCATGAGCTTTGTGTGTGTCCGTCTGCCTCTGCTTTTGGCGATGGCTCTGGTTCCTGTTTCTTACGTTGCCGCTGCTCCACAGCTGTGGCTCCAAAGCAGCATCCCAAGCAGGGCACTGGCAGTGGAAACGCTGTCTGTGACCCCGATGCCAGCTGTGGGCTCTGTGTCCGCCTAGACCACTCTGCTTTCTATAATGTGTGTGTGGCGAGGGGTTACTTCAGAAGGAGAAATTCAGGTCCAGGTAAGGTGAGTGGCTGTAGGAGTACCGGGCAGAAAAACACCGCACATGTTCTTCCTGACACTGCGAAGCTGGCACCTCCCCTGGGTCCGCTGAGCTGTCACGCGGACTCTGTCACCCACGCTGACCGTCACCCGCACCGCGAGCTCAATGAGCGCGTGCTGCGTTATTGAGAAGATGCGCTTTCGCCTCTGTTCCTTCCTTTTTTTTTTTCCAAATGTGAATTTTTTATAGGCAGAGAATGCAAAAATAACACTTAGCAAAATTAATTAGAACAAACACTACCACGTAATCCCTTTTCAAACAAAGTTCAGAATGCCAAACTTGCTTCCCCCTCCCAGGACAGAGTCGTAACTTGGGGGAAGTGTCCGAGCCGCATCTGGCTGGCGTTTCCCACTCGCTGCCGTAACCGAGGGACGCGTCTGGACCCACACCAGCGCTCGCTGTTACCTCGTTGTCCTGTGTGTGGCGTCAGTCACCAGGCAGTTACTTGCTTCCCATGCATGACTGGCGTTTGTGTCCGTGACCACGTTTGTACCGAGGGAGCTTGTTACTGCCGGGCTGGTACTTAATCTGTTTACTTTGTTAATGTCAGAGCTTCCTATGGTGATTTATTTAGGAAGCTGCAAAGGTCACTTCAGATGCTGCTGTTTTAAGAATTAGACTTTCAGTCTTAGAAACACAGTTTTCCATTGAAACTAATTAATATGAATCTGGGCTTTCTGCAGTAAGGAAATTGCATATTTAAGTAGTTAGAACTGTGACCCTTCCACCTTGGGATGCAGGCCTCATGAAGGTTGGTGAGGAGAATTTTCACTTGTTCATTGCTTGTTTGTTGAGGACAGGAACTCTGGGGGCTGTGGCCTGGTCACTGCTGTCTTGGACCGTGATTTTATGGGGCGACAGAAAGCAGCTCTCCCGTTTTGTGAAATCACAGGGGTGGCGAGTGTGCGCCGGGTGGCTGGTGACGCGGAGCCCGTGGGTGTGGAGGGCTCCTGTGAGGAAGTCCGCGGTCCCGGTACAAAGCCTGTGTGCGCAGCAGAGAGCAAGGCCTTGGGAGTCCTGAGCTGGCAGCATGGTGTTTTTGAGGATCCATGTACCCAGGGGTCAGAGAGCAAGCAGGGCAGGGGCTGGGGTCTCGCAGGGCCTCAGGACTCCAGGGAGCGAGACTGGGAGGCCCAGGCAGTGGGATTCGCGGTCAGGAGGGTCCCGCACAGGCGAATGCCGAGTGGACGCCCTGGACACAGCTTCTGCAGCAGGGATCGTGTCCCGGGTCTTCCCTGTCCCCTGCAGCAGCCCAGGGCACAGGGAGGTGCTGGGTTTTCTGTGCTTCAGACAATGTAAGTGGAAAAAACACCCGTGCCAGAGGAAAAGCCGGAATCAGCAAATGGCCGCTGCAGGTGCAGAGGCGAGGGGCGGAGGCCGCGTGCGCCGGTGTTGTGTGGGCAGGGACAGGGCGTGGATGGGCTCCAGGAGCTTGGGGAGCGGGGGTGGAATCTGGGAATGCGTGGGCTGTGTCAGGGAGAGCTGAGGGAGATGTGGAGTGTGCGTCTGTCCGTGTTGGCGCTGGCAGGCACCCTACCCCCGAGCCGCACCCCAGGGCCCCGACTGCCTCGTGAAGGCGGGCAGAGACCTGGGCAGGGGCAGAGTTGAGAGGAGAAGGGGCTAAAGCTCGTTTTGCAGCCTCTGCAGTGCTAGCTGCCCGTGGGGACGTCCAGTGGCCCTTATGGTAGGCGATAGAACTGCTGCCTAAGTTTATAGCTGCATAAATACAGTGGACCCTTGACTTACAAACTCAGTCGGTTCTCGAGGGCTGCTGTAACTCAGCACAGCTGGGAGCTGGATGTTACCTGGGTACGCGCTACAGGTACCAAGGGGCAGATGAATCCCCATTAACCTAATTAGCCCAAGTTGTTCCTATGTCAGGGTGGTTGTAAGTTGAGGATCCACTGTATAAATTTGTTTTTGTATAACTATGACAACATATTTTTAATAGATAGATGTAGTTTTGAGTTATGAAATACAAAGGCTGTCTTGTAAATGTTAAAATTGTCTCAGTTCTAGGAATGTTTCAGACAAGTTGTGTTTCTGGTTTTGTAAAGAAATATGCTTTAAAAATAAAAAATAAATCCAAGCCATGGCAGAATAAATATATTGCATTTTACAGCAGAGAGCAGGTGACCCAGTCGTGAGCCTCTAGAGTGGGGAAGAGCAGGCGCTCAGGAAGGCTGCACCCATTGTCCTTGGCTGGCCCTCGCCGTGGAGGGAGGGCCCCACACACAGCTGCAGGGGTCGCCAGTCTCTGCCGTGGACTGGGCCTGCTGGCGGCAGAGAGGGCCGCGGGTGGGGCATCAGGAGGGAGCACATCTGACCCCAGCCCACTGCTTTCTGACCACTCAGACTGTAAGACTGAAAAGATACTGAGAAAGGCAAGACCTGAGGAGCGCCTCACTGCACTGCAGGCCACTTTTTGAAAAGATTGCTCACATTCATGGCTTTGACAGAATTTCATATTGTTCGAGACAAAATCTGCGCTTCAGTGTATGCTGTGAGACATCAGTTTGGTGCTTGCACTGGAGAACCAGCTTTCCAGCGTTCGGTGACAGCGTGTCCCGTCTTCGTGTTCACACAGCCGCTCTGGTCATGCGCGTCAGCGTCACCTTCACGCCCCACTGCCTCCCACCTCAGCACATCTTTCCGTAGGGATTGAAATGTAGCACTAAGCTGCGGTTGTCAGGGGGTCTGTGTCCCCATTGCTAATGTGATTTTGCCGCATTCTGAGTTAGGGCCAAGTCACTCTGAAATCCATTTCCCTGTCTTTTCAGATCATGTGTCGGTCGGAGGACTTGGAGACAGCTTTTATGAGTATTTGCTCAAGGCGTGGCTAATGTCCGACAAGACAGATCTGGAGGCTAAAGAGATGTATTTCGATGCCGTTCAGGTAACCCAGTATTTAAATCATCCTCACCACTCAGCTCTAACTTGTGACTTGCACATTCATGGACCTCTAATGAAAAAAGTGAAACATTACATGAGTGGGTTACAAAATCCTCCAGCTAGGTGGCGTTGATGCCTGCTGGAGCAGCCGCGGGAATCATGCGGTGTGAATTTAGTCCCGGCCGGCAGCTGAGAGTTGTGACGTGTTCAGACCTCACTGAAGAGGCCCTGATCGTCTGAGGAAGAGATGCACCTAGGTCAGCCACACGCTGCACCTGTGACAGCGGTCTCCAAGAACTGTTGTCTAAGACGTCACCGCAGGCCTAGGCTGCGTGCGCTGTGACGCCATCAGCCTTGCTCAGAACCTGTCTTCATGACGCAGCACAGCACTCTTCATGAGTGAGTGCCCTCCTTGGATCTGCATTTAAAATTAAATTTATATTCTGAAAATCGACTAAAAGTAGCCCGAGATTACAGACAATCCCAAAGTAAACTTGTCTTCAGAGCTAAGTGGACAGTACTATAAGGAAATCCACATATAAAAATCTGAACAAACTGGTATTTGAGTCCATGAACAGTTTCCACAGATCTTGACATCTGGGGCCTGAGAGGGAACAGCTGTGTTGAGCTACAGCTAGGTGCTGAGCAGGGGGAAGAAAGGGCTTTCAAGGACAGAGGGCTGGGGGCTGTTGTTCTTTTTTCATAGTACTTAAGGTAATACTCACCCAGTTTCCCAGGTGAGGCTGTTGAAGCCCAGAGAGGTTGTGCATGGAACCAAAATTCAAAATAGTACCTGTCTGGATTTGTCCCTCTGCCTTACCTGGAGGGGTCAGTTTGTGAGTCAGACTCTCCTTGCCACATGTGCCGATGTGTCTGTGGCAGGAAGTTAGGAGCTACTCAGCAAAGCCTGCAGGAGACAGCCAGTGAGAGAGTGAACTCAGGAGCATCTCTGACTAAGCCTCAGGAAGAAATTCAAATAAGGTCAGGAAACAGATCCACAAAACAATTGTTTCATATGAAATAATGGAACTTGCGCCCAACTTTTTAGGAACATAAACATTTAGCAGAACCAGGTGCTTGTGATTAAGAATTTATGTGGGTTACTACCATACAATCTTTAATATTATCATTAAGGCTTTCAACATAAAACTGGGGCTAAAGCCTCAGAAAACTGACTTTTTGCTTGGCTGCTGAGAAATTCTTTATAATCAACAGAGGTACAATGCAAATGGCTACTGACATGGCCACTGTTCTAAATTTGTCCCTGCCAGGGTCTGGGTGGCTGGCTCAGCTATACCTGTTTGTGTGAATGTAAGTGAATGAATGTAGCTTCCTGTTTATGCAAATGGCTTCCTGTTTATGTAAGTGGAGCTTCCTGTCTGTGTAACTGTAGCTTCCTGTCTGTGTGACTTAGCTTTCTCTGGCCTGAATAGGCCTAGTGCTCACTGATTTCACCCTGATGAGTTGGCATAAGCAAAGCACAGCCTGCTTTTTACTGCTGCCCATGAAGGGTTGTGTCGCGAGCCGGCGACGCAGAGCACTGTCCAGCAGTGCCTCAAACCTGAAAGAGCAGCGGGGTGGAGATGGGGCAGAGAGAAAGGAAGGACGCCAAGACAAGAGTCTGATCAAGGCGATGTTTATTGCAAACAAGCATCAGCCTTTTAAAGGCACATCAACAGGAAACACCTGACTCCTACAGTTAACGTCAGATCTTTACAGGAAGTACCTGACTCCTACAGATCTCTGGCTATCCGAGTTTCTCTCGTGCAGGGTCAGAAACAAGTTTAACATGTGCAGTCCTTAAAGAGGAACAAATGTTATCTTTCAAAAAGCCAATGGGCCATGGTTGGCTTCCCACAGGGTTGGAAACACCAGGCTCAGAACTTTGGCCCTTGCCGGCCCATCTGCTCTGTGGCCTGTGGAGATCTCAGCAACAGCTAGGCTGTGGCCCTCAGGGTCTCATTCCCGAGGTTCGTCTCACTGCTGTGAGGTCTTGAGTTTGGACCTTCCAAGTTTTCCGATACTGTGGTTTCCTCTGTGATATCCTTTTCTGATCACAGTGGACATTTTAACTGACCTTAAAGTGGGCCTTTGTGACCTTCGTGTTCAAGAAAGGCACCTTTAAAATATTCTTTGAAATATCTTCCTCTCTATGTCTAGGACTGCACTTGCAGAACTTAGCATTTTCTCTTTAGACAATTCATTGACAGGAAACTCCATTAAGAACAGGTGAAGTCCATGTTTCCTACTTAACAGTGAAAACACTTAGTGAAACTAGAATAGCTAAACTTGTGATTCTGAGAAGTAGCAGTGCTTTACAGGGCACACCTTTTGCTGAGGTTTACTGGAAGAGATTTTCAAGAGCCAGGAGCCACAGGAAATGCTTATAGTACTAGCTGTGTGGGTGGCTGAGGCAGGAGAATTGCTTGAGACCAGGAGTACAAGGCCACTCCGGGCATCATAGGTCCGCATCTCACAAAAAGAAAATGAACAGTCATTGTCATGGGGAGGGTGCTTACATTGCTGTCCGGGACAGTTGACTTGCTGGAGGTACGGGTGCTCCGTATTAGCTCCTAGTAAATTTGGAAAGCCTTTAGTCCTAGAGTGATTGCTTTGGAGCGTCCATCTGGTTGTCACGGCCCTATCTAGAGGCCAGGCTGAGAATCCTCCTGGGCTGATTATGCGTCACACATTTAAGATTCTAAAGGCTTCATCAAACTAAAGGTTTTCAAATATGAAAGCATCAAGCTACAAGATACTATGCTTCCTTCCTAAACTCTTCTCTGTAGCCTTGTCACAAAAATTTATTAGAGCCATTAAAGACGTTTTTCTTCTTTGTACTTATTTACATTTCCACACAAAACCATTTCTTTGAAGTCTGGGAACTTCACTGGAGTTTATTTTCATAGGTAGCAAGTTGGTCAGAATCATGCCAAAAATAGCATATTGCTTTACTCAGGATCCCCAACAGGGTAATAACATGTCTCTAATCTGCTCAAAAGCCATGTAGAAAGAATAATTTCTTGGGTGATGAACAAGTGTCTGCTTGAAAGACTTTATTGCAATTTGTGTTATGAGAAGTGTAAATAGCTAAGATGTTCAATTGCATTAAATAAGAATGAAATATTCATGCAATAACTAAGCCATCGATGAAATTAACTTAACCAGTTAATGAGCACAATAGTGTTTTCATTTATTTCTTTTTATCTTTCATTGGTTTATTTCTGATAAAGGTAGGAAAGGTTTAGCTGCCTGTGTATCCGTTTTCATTAATTCTTCTACCATGCCAAAAGGTGGTTTTTTTTAAATCCCGTGGTTTTTTTTTTTTTAAGTAATGACAAGTGTGGACATGATCATGGCCCTTTTCCTCCCTGTGATGTAAAAGGGGGCAAGAGATATTTTCTGTCAGAGAAATTGGAAATTACTAATTCTAAATGCACTTCATTTGTGCCTTTTAAATATAAGGCTTATTTGTATTTCTCTAGTTTTACAGAAAATCAATTCTTGAGCAGAAATAAAAGATATTTTATAAATCATTTTCAAAGCATTATAATTTCTCCGAGATTTGAAGATCTTTCCTTTTTGTAAAGACTTTAGTCATTGTAGTCTACCATACTTTCCCCCCTTTCTTACCTCCCTCGTTTTATTTTTCCAGCATCAGGTGCAAGGCCTTTAAAGTTAATTATATATGCAGTTTGAAAACCAGACTAATAGGCCAAAGAACACATGAAATACATAAGATAGTTATACTGAGTTGAGGTCTATGGTGCTTTTTAATAGAAAGGTAGGGGAAGAACTTGATTCCAGTGCCCCCACGTAGGAGGTGGGGATGATAAGGGCACCGGATTTTTTTTTTTTTTTTTTTTTTTTTGGTAGCAGGAATCAAACTCGGGCCCTTGCACTTGTGAGGCAGACTCCAGAACCACTGAGCCAGATCCCCGGCCCCATCGGATCTCAGTTTTTTAGCAAGTGTCAGTCTCCACACTGCCTGCTCTGTGCACTCAGTGTTGTTCCTATTTGCGGCTGAGGGTAGGAAGTACCCTCCCTTTAGCTCAAGTGGTGCTGCCTCCTGCCTCGCAAGCTCAAGGTCCTGAGCTCGATCTCTGGTACCACAAGAAAAAAAAAAGTACACTGCAAAGCCAGCAGGGCCCCTTCTGATGCTGGGCCTAAGCCCACCCGTAAAAAGCCCCCTTGCTGGAAGTTGTTGTCAGGTTCAGGGCTCAGCTGGATCTGGTGAAGAACTGAAGACCACGTTCCCTTCCTGGCGAGGCACAGGGCTCCGGTGCTGCCACTCTGCCCCCATGGTTAAGCAGCCTCTGATTCACCAGCCATGCCCCAGTCACCCAGCCACGTTGCCTTGCCTTGCCCTGCCTTGGTTTCCCACCCAGGGCCACCAGGCCGGCTCCTGTACCCTCATGGCCATCCTCCGTGGCAGGCCAGGCTTTGTGTCAGGTGTCCACCTGTGACGTGCAAATGCCCCGACTCGTGCCACGCTGAATCAGTAGCCTGCCTTTGAAAGGGGGTGGCTTTGGGGACCAAATGAGCATTTGGTCATGGAGCCAAGCTAGCCTAACAATTTAAATTCTGACTAACCAAAGTAACGAGGCATGGGCCAGATGAATGCGGAAGGCAGAACATTTCAGGTCGAATTGGGTTTCTGACTCCAAAGTCAAGCTGGGAGTCGTGTTTTCAATAATAGTACAATACTGCACTGTAGTGTTCAGTATGGATTTGAGATGAGATTGCAGAATGTTGACAGCCTGTCTTATTTCAGGCCATCGAGACTCACCTGATCCGGAAGTCGAGCGGGGGGCTGACGTACATCGCGGAGTGGAAGGGGGGGCTCCTGGAGCACAAGATGGGCCACCTGACCTGCTTCGCGGGGGGCATGTTTGCGCTCGGGGCCGAGGGGGCGCCTGAAGGCCTGGCCCAGCACTACCTGCAGCTCGGGGCCGAAATCGCGCGCACCTGCCACGAGTCTTACAACCGCACCTGTGAGTACCTGTGCCGTCAGGCCCCAGACTGCGGTGTTGTTCCACCTGGAACTCGGCCACTGCAGCCGTGCACACAGTGTCTACTGGGCCTAGTGAAACGTGATGCCCGACATTAGGGTCTCAAAGGAATGTGTGTTTTCACTCGAAAGGGCACTGTTTTATACGTAAAAATAAACACCTGTAACTTGCTAAGTGACAGGTGCAGGCCATGAACAGTTAAGCCAGAGCACTTGTCGGCCCTGCTTTAGCTGAGTAAGTCTGCATAAGGGTCTCTGTTCTCACCCAGAAAGAAGCCATTTTTATAAACCACTCCTAGGCTTCTTCACATCCCCATGAGACAGAGCGTGAGTCTGGCTTTCATCTCATAAAGTACAAACCTGCAGCTCTAGAGGTTGGATACCTGGCCGTTGTGACTCACTGATGCAACCTTGCAGTGTCCAGCCCACACGACCTGGGGTGCTCACTAAATTGGGGTTACACGGGGCCCGGGAAGAAGGGCTGCTGGTTTCTAAGTCGCACGTTTAGACATCTAACCCTTAAAGGGATGTTGCCTGTTGAGTAACCATCCTGCACGCTGCCGGGGCATCTGTCTGGGAGCTTGCTGAGCTTCGCCTAGCAGGCAGTGAGCATTCAGCGGAGGGACGGTGACCTCCTCACCATTCATTTGCCCTCCAGTCATGAAGCTGGGACCGGAAGCCTTCAGATTCGATGGCGGGGTAGAAGCCATTGCCACAAGGCAAAATGAAAAATACTACATCTTGAGGCCGGAAGTGATTGAGACGTACATGTATATGTGGCGGCTGACTCATGACCCCAAGTACCGGAAGTGGGCCTGGGAAGCTGTGGAGGTGAGGTTTAAGCTGCTTGTTTCTTCCAGATCCGCATCTCTGTGCTGAGCGATGCCTGTGCATGTGGCGTATCCACTTCTCTGATTTCTAAAGCCTTGGCCGAGGGTTTGCCCTTCAGGACCAGGTGTTCCTACTTCATTCATTCCCTACAGCTTTGCTTTATAAATAGCAGTGGCACGCAATTCGCCGTTAGACTGTGTGTGGGCGACCTAGAAAGGAGAACATTACGTTCCGGGCGGTGAGATGACAACCAGCCACAGGATTCCCGAGTTCCTGGCCACTTGGGGAAGCGCACCCTGTCTGCTGTACGTTTTAAGAACCTATTCTAGGTGTACGATTCCTTTCTTTGGTCCCTGGGGTGGGAAATGATAGTGTGTACCTTCACTTCAGGTAAATCGGCTCCTGAGATCTAACTGCTACAGGTAAGTGGAGCAGCAGGGCGCGGTGAGGGTGCCCTGTGTTAGTCCAGGTCCCCAGGTGTGTAGCTTCTGTCTGCCCAGCGTATCCACTGTCACCTCGCCACGATGCCGAGGAAGCGGAAGGGAACCCTGGGGATGAGAACAAGCAGCTGCTGTCCTGTTCTCTGGTGTTCAGTATCAGAACGCTGACTGTCTTGGCAAACTGTCTTAGGAAGAACTTCCCTCAGGAAGTTGAAATGACGGTTGCCCTCGTGTAAAATCTAACTACTTTCAGAAGTCATGGCTGAATCTTCAATCAGTGTGTCTTACCACTAATAATCAGTTATCTTAGGTAATAACTCGGTAATGCATATAAAGTTTTCTAGTTACGTACAATCCGTGGTAATTCCCATATCTTTAAATTTCTGTTTTATTTTTTTCTCTGGAAAAAGTTAAAATTGAGGCTCATCTAAGTTTTGGTGATACAGAGACCAGCCAAGGAATTAAGAGTTTAAGTTGCAAATTATCAGCGGAAATCAAAAATATCAAGAATAACATCTTTCATCAAATATAGCACACCATAACCAGTAAAAAGTACCATAATTTTCTGTACTGCTGAGAATAACATTGCCCATAAAATGTGGCCTGCCTGTTTGAGGGGCATTCAAATGTAGGAATGCTGGGGTGGAGAGCAGGAAACCCTGCTGCTCTGGGGGAAGAAGCCAGGGTCTCCCTGCCCCTCGGTGGGTGAGGCTGGCCTCGCCTCCTGCTGGCTCTGTAGCATGAGGTTCTGTGACACTGCCCCATGCCAAGCCACCCAAGTGACCCCTGAGACAGCGATGATAAAGGGGCGTGGGGTCCACTTTCTCCGGCATGAACACTGTCGCCCTGCAGATCCTGGGGCTCTGGGGACCTCTCCTGGGTCCCGCATCTGCTGGCTCAACCCCCTTGGCCTCTCCCTGCTCGGGGCCACAGCTGGAAGCCACATCAGAGGAGAGAGCTGGGCCCTTACTTGGCTCAGCCATGGGGCTTCCACGGGAGATCATCCCACCTGCTCCCAGACAGAGCAGGGCTTCGGGCACCGAGCTCAGCAGCCGCTCGCCTGCTGACACCCCTCTGTGGGGCCCTCCTGCTGTAGCCCTGGCCTCCCCCGACTCTCCAGGAACCCATACCAGAACACAGGGATCTTAAACTCCTCGTGCAGCCTGCTTTCCCAGGGACTGCACGCGGTGCCCTCAAGACAGCTGTTGCTGTCTGGGGAGCAGCATCCTGCCTGCTGATGGCCCAGCCCATCTCCACGGGCCGAGGTGCGGGCAGTTCACCGTGAGCCAGGTGCAGTGCTCTGAGCCGGGGGGTGGGTGATGGCTCCCCACACCCATCCCTCTGTTCCCCCTACCTGCACATGGCGCCTCCGCCAGCGCCTCCCCACCCCGTGCTCCCCGCCACACCCATCAGTCTCTTAGTCGGCACAGGCTGGGCGGGGCTCCCCTGGCACCCACAGGGCGAGCATGGCAAGCCGGAGCGTGGTGCCCACAGGTCTCAGGCGAGGACGGTGAGACCCCAGCTCCGCCCGAGGGCTTACAGCGATTGCTGTCGGCGGCAGGTGACACCTGGTCACATACAGTCAGTGTCAGAACAGCAGCTTCAGAGGCCGAGCACTGACACGGTGGGGTCCCTCCCGACCCCGGTCCGGCTCCTTCCTCCCTTAGGCCCCTGAACTGAGCCTCCCCTGGGCACCCTGACTCTGAAGGAGGTCACCTTCCCTACTTCTCCCGACCTATCCCGCATCCCCATTCCCACACCCTGTGTGATGTTCGTGTCACCTGGCTCTCCAGTTGCTTTCTTGCTTTAATTTCTGAGTTCTTGGAGATCCTCCTGCCCTGGCCTCCCAAGTGCCGGGGTGACAGGTGAGCACTGCCCCCCCACCAGGTGGGCTCTCGTTTTCTGTCCCTGGGTTCAGACCAGACAGTCTCGGGCCATTCCTGGAGGTCACTCTGGGTCAGCTGTCAGTGTGAGTGACAAGAAGCATTCTACCCTCAAGTGACTGGCACACCATCTAGCTCACCGTCACGCTGAGCACCACTTCCTAACCTGGCCCCAGACCCAGGGCTGTCTCTGGGCGGGCTGCCTGTCACCTTGGAAAGCTCACTCTGCACGGGCAGTCAGTGCCCAAGGACGGCACACTCACAAGGAGCTGTGTGCAGCTGTGGCTGCGGGGCCCCAGCAGGCACCAGGTCAGGCCCTTGCATGGCGGGGGAAACGCTCATCGGGCTGGGATGAGGGCCGGGACAGCTGTCCCTAGAGTAGCAGACCTGGGCTCTTAACATCAGGACTTCGTGACAGTAAAGTATTTAACTTTTCAAAACTTAAAAATGCCTGTTGAATTTTCCCTTTTAAAATTGTCTTAATTCACCAGAAGCCTCATGGGAACAGCTGGGCCAGCAAGGCCTTGCCCGGCACCAGCATCACTCCCATCATCCTGGCCAGAACTGTGTCTGGGGATGGCGCCTGCCTGGCCAGGGAGACTGGCCGCAGAGAGGAAGCTCAGGGCCGGGGCCACCCCGCCCGCACCCCACGACTGATCGCGGCCTCCCAGGAGGCCTGAGGGGGGCACTGACTGCAAGGAAGGAGAGAGCGGCATGGGCCGTCCATGCTGAGGCGCTGCCTGCCTCGTGGGCAGAGTGCTACCACTGCTCCCGCCAGAGAGCTGCACAGGGCGACCTGGGAACAGCTGGAAACGAGGCCTCATCCTGCCCGGAATCAGGCCGCTCATTCCTTCCAACTCCAAATTCCTTTCCTTTACAAATGAGTTGTGCCCATTCTGCATATCTGTTATTTGGCCTTTTATTCTATGAAAAAAGGAAGGGAAGAAAACATAGGACTTGAAAGTCTCCTTCTCCAGCCCCTGGCCCCCACTGTCTGTCGGGAACTTCGAGTTTAACTGGGGCGTCTTTTAAGGCTGATCGCTCCTTTCCTGAGGGCTTGTGGAAAGTGCCGAAGCCTGAGGAACTGCTTCCTTTCCTTTACTCACGTAGCCTGCTGGGGCTTTCTTGACCCTGGTCCTGAGACTCCTCCAGGCTGTGCCACCTCCCCCACTAGCAGCCCACCCAGCTCCCCAGTCTTGAGCCGGGTTTTCTGCCCCAACGCTTTTCTAGCTAGTGGAAGTTTTTTTTTCTCAACAAACATGGCAAAGTCTGTGCTTTCAAGAAAAAAGTGGGGCCTAATTATACATATAGAAAAAGACAAGACTGAATCATAAGAGAAAACTGAAAGATGAATGAAAATGATATGGGAAACTGAAAACTGCCTTGTTTGCAACTTCTTATAAATAGTAAGATGTTCCTCTTAAACTTTGCTATTTGTGCACACAGTCTGTGAGAGCCAGATTTCAGGTAGTGATTTTTGTAGAACAGAAATTTTATTTTACCTATAATTGACAGGACTAGCAGGATGTGGTAAACATGGAATTACTTGCCTGGAGGGGAATATGCTTGGCAACTAGCAAAGCCTAAGTGTCACTTCGAAGTACAGACACACAAAATACAACTAAACGAGTGAAAGGCTTGGATGCAAGGTCTGAAACCATGAAACTCTAGAAGAAAACGTTGCGGGCGGGGGGCGGCTGTGGCTTGTAACGTTTTGGATTTAGTGCTAACACTATGGCAACAAAAACAGAATGAAACACCTGGGACCGCCAGACCAGGAAGCAACGAAAGGAAAAGCCAACCTGGGGAGTAGGACAGTCACCAGCGATGCACTTCTGAGTCCCTGTCATTAAGTGACATGGTGGCGTCAGAGGGTTAGTGTTCAGAATCCATAAGGAACTCACGACTCAATAACCATAGCAAAAGATGGTTTTCCAGAGCATGGGCAAAGGACCGGATTAGACGTCTAAGGAAGACACAGGAACGGCAGCAGTGTCTGAGGAGATGCATGCAGGGCGACACCAACCAGCAGGGAAATGTAAACCAGAGCTGCGAGGAGGCCCCACCTCACTCCCACCAGAGGCCGCTGTGGAGGAGTCACGAGGTCATTCGTGTCCTCGCAGAGGGAGGGGAGGAGGCCTCGTGCACTGGGAAGGTCCTGCGATGGTGCGATGGGTGGAAAAGCATAGCAGTTCCTCAGGAGATGGTCCCGCAGCCCTCTGAGGGAGTTCGCACAGGGACATCCAAATCACAGAGACGGGGCTGTCACCGTCATCCCTCCGGGATCCAGAGCCCAACAGGAGGCCACAACCACGTGTCTGTCCACACGAGTCATAAAGGGTGGCATCTGTGTGCGCTGGAGTGGTGTTCAGCCTTTAGCCAAAAACAGGAAGTCCCGCCATTTCAACAGCACAGAGGGACTTGGAGGGCAAATGTGCCAGGCACAGAACGGCAAATGCTATAGTGTCGCTTCTGTGCAGAATTTTTTTTAAACCCTCATAGAGGCAGAGAGCACAGCGGCACTTAGAAGGAACGAGGGATGGGAGAGAAAGGTAGATACTGATGAAGGGTTTTCAGTTGTTAGACGAATAAGCTGTAGAGACCCAACAAACCGAATAGCAACCAGTAATACAGCCACACAGAAACAGGTGACAGTGAGGCGATGATGCGCTCAGTGCAGGAAAATGGATGGAACGGGACACCATAAAGCCAATGAAATAAGACAAAATGATCACTTGGCTTCTCATACGAGAAACCTAAAATATAAATGGAGGGGTAAAGAAGTAGGAAATAAGGCAGACTTTGGAGATGAGCGAGGCAGGAGGTAAGGGAGAGGTCAGGAAAGGGATCCAAAATGATCGGGTAGTGTTTTGTGTACCAGCTCCGTGAGATGGAGACCGCCGCTGTTGTGATTTACAAGTGTGTGGTATGAGTTCACATCTGTTTGATTAGCTTGACTGTGGTATTTCACAGTGTATCAGAATATCGTGTACACCCTTACTGTGTACAGTTACAGTCATACACGAGTAAGCTAAAAATAACTTAATGGAAGGGGACAGTAACAGCAGTCAGCTCACTAGTGGGTAGCCAAAGGAGAGGCAGGATTCTTTGTTACTAAAGTTTTCGTCCCCACGCTACCTGTTTCTTTTCCAAGTATACATCTGCTATGTCCAGGCAACTATGGAAATGTAAGACCATTTATTGTTGAGCAGTTGCCAGTGGATTCGTCCCATTTTTTCATGCCAGACTAAAGAAAAGAAAACATGTATTTTAGGAGTAGAAGCAGGCACTTGTGTCTCGCTGCCTTGTATTTTCGTCTTTTGGCTCTGTCCAGTATCACTAATTCAGAGTCTGTAATCAGTTTTTAAGAAATACAGTGTTCTCACTGAAGTAGCCCTGTGTGGGTCCGGTATTCTGTCTCAGCCAGTGTTGCATACCCAGACAACAGTCTCCGTGGCGTCAGCATAGCCCTGTAAGGGCCGGACTGTGTGCAGGGCTCCAGACCGTAGGGTCTCTGGTGCAGCTGCTCTGCCCTTGCGCAAAAACAGCCCAGGTGATCCAGGAACGATTAGTACGGCTATGATTCAGTAACAGTTTACTGGCAAAAATAAACAGTCAACTGGACTTGTCCTGCAGTCCTTGGTTTGTCAAACCCTACCGTAGACAGTAGGAGAAAATGGTGGAAATCAGCATAAAATGATTCCAAACTGAAATGTGGAAGTGTTTCGTGTATTCTCCGCATATCTGGCTTTTCATGTCTTATTTGCATTTCCATTCTGTTGCTTTTTTTTAACTTTGCACCTAAAACTGTTGACAAGTTTCCGTTCAACCTGAGTGTTTATCTGCCCGGACAGCCCAGCCATCCGAGGCACCCGCTGCCTCCCCTGATCTGTTCCCTCTCTGTAACCAGGCTCTGGAAAGCCACTGCCGAGTGACCGGGGGCTACTCGGGCCTGAGGGACGTGTACTTCGTTCATGAGAACTATGACGATGTGCAGCAGAGTTTCTTCCTGGCGGAGACACTGAAGTAAGTGACAGTCATCGTCGGGGGTTGGGTTGAGGCTCCAGAATAGATCTGCTCTGTAGGTGTCCACTGGGTGTGAGATGCATTTCCAGCCTGCCCTGATGGCCGCCACCCTGCAGATAGGCAGCACAGGGCTTCACACCGCCCTTGCCGTGCCTCGGGCTCTAGAGCTGACAGGATGCTGGTGCACTTCCCACCTCACCTCTGGGCCTCATGTCCTCCTGTTTCCCTCCCAGGTATCTGTACTTGATATTTTCCGATGATGACCTTCTGCCCCTGGAACACTGGATCTTCAACACTGAGGCGCACCTGCTCCCTGTGCTCCGCGCAGATAAAAAGGAAGTTGAAGTCAAAGAGAAATAAAGACATTTTCTGTTTTCTTCTACTTCATTCCTTCACTGCGTACCGTAATGGGTCCTTTCCTGGTAATCAGGCACATGATGAACTCTTATCAATAAGTCTGTGGTTGTTCTAAGTTCGAAAGTTGTTTTGCAGTCCTTTGTGTTTACTGTGAGGCATAAATACACCTTCATTCCTGTTCCTTTCTTAGCCAGTAGACTCGCAGATTTTGCCCATTTGTCTGTCTGGTTTGTTTCAAATCTGCCATCACTGCAGATCATCAAGGTGTAGCATCGTTTCCGTTTCGTGAGCAGAATGGCAGCCAGTGACCTCTCCATGACAATTTGATTTGACTGCAAAACTTTTTCCTCCTCTGTGAGGAGATGACGTCTGCTTTAAGCTGTAATGTTTTGCCATGTTGCAAAAAGCCATAATAATAAATGAAATATTAAAAAGCTTTTTCCTTTCCAGTATCATGTAAACACGATTTGTCTTTCCACCAGAGACACATCTGACTGTGACAGCCTCTGAGCGGGTCTATCGTTATTTGATAGGTCGTCTCCCACACAGCTCCACTCACCTTACATTTCAGATTAGAAAGTTGTACCCAGAGTCATCTCGTGGACCTCAGTTCATTGGAACCACAGTATCTTTGGTTGGTTGATTACAGTGCTGTTTCCTTGGTGGTGGTGAATTTGTTCTCAACTTTTGCATTAAGTGTCCGGGTCATTTCTAGACCTTGGGCCACTTAATTCCTTCCATTCCCCACTCCACAGCAAGGTGAGCTCTCAGGTTGTGCAGAGCTCTGCTAATTGGTGAGATACATTTTTTAAAGGGAAACGGTGTCGCTGTTAATGTGCTAGCTTTTGCTTTCAACCAAATAAGTAAACGAATTGAGTCTCTCAAAAGAGATGAGGATTTCATGTGGCTATTAGTGCATTTATTTCCATTTCATCTTAAATTTTTTTCTTAAGCATTCCATTTGATTCAGATTTTTCAAGTTTGAAAGGAGCCTTTCTCAAATGTAGTAAATTATTTCATTTGAAAGCGGGATTTGACTCAATGGGAGAAGATTTGGCAATTTATTCCTAGTTAAGGAAAGTCTAACAAACTCTTAGGTCAAATAATATATTTAGTTTGGTTAAATTAAATGTGGCAAATCTAACTTAGAAGCAGTATATAGCAATGGACACCTCATAATTTGTCTGCAGCAGATCCAAATAACTCTTTAATTCTTCTAAACATTAAATGTTGAAAGAAAGAGGAACAGTTTCCCCAAGAACAGATTTAGTGAGACCTTGTGCTTTATCACACTGGTCATATTTCCATACAAGGCCTAATCCGATGCTGTGTGCCAAGGTACAAAGACTCTGACAGCCTGAATTTTCACCCTAGAATGGTCCGGCAGATCTGTGCACCCCATGCGTCAGGCCAGAGCATACAAAGCTGCTATGTTTTAGTTTAAAGTTGTCCAGGATCAGCAATTTCATATGATTCAGACTGGTATTTTTAAAACAATATTTTGTAGATCTCTTTAGACCACATTTTTAGCTATGTCAGCTTTTTAAAATGTTTCAAAAGATTTCCCTCGATTGGACCGGTTAGTGTGGCCTGTTTTGTTTGTTTTGGTTTTCATTGCGATGCCGTGGTGTGTGTTAGTACATTTGTGAAGACGGTAAACTACAGAGGTCCCTTAGTACAGCCTTCTTTCTGGTCGTCAGTGCATCCCTGACCCCAAATAACACCTCTCACTTGTGTCTTAAGCTCCCCTCAAGAAATGCCTGGACAAGTGGTTTTCCTCAAAACTTTAAGGCAAGATAGATTACCACCCAAATTGGGTATGCGTATTTATGTTGTACTTTTCACATGAACATCCTTGGACTAGAGATTTACATTAATGAGTTTTATTTGCATTTCAATGTGACTCAAAGCTGCACACAGAGCTGATCCATCCCCTGCAGCAGGTAGAGTGCGGGGTCAGGCTGTGTGTACCCCACATCACTGCAGTGAGCCCCCGTGTGCTCTGGCAAGGAGACAGGAAGCTATGGTACACATTGCTCTGCCAGTGGCAAGAGTAAGTTTTTAGTTCTAGAACTTGCAATTGTTTTTAACAGAAGTCCCAAAACACCAAAAATGTAAACAAGAGATTAATATTATAGTGATGTAATTTAAAATTATACTTTGTGTTAATTACGTTAAGCAGCTGAAGTCTCTAAGGTAGACACTGTCTTTTGCTCATTTTCACCAAAACGCTACAGCTGAAATGACACATGTATTCATAATCTTTAAGATGAGCAATTTAAGTAGCACTTGATTTTGTGTTTACGCAGTGTTTTTGATACACTTTGTGCAATCAAGATTACATATAAGTTGTATTTCGATTTTCAGAACTCAGTGACTTATCAAGACTTTCTCATTTTTATTACCCACTCTTTACATCGATTGTTTCTGATTTGTACATAAATCCATTGTCATTTCCAACTTTATATAAATCTCTAATGTTAAGAGAAACATAATAGATTGACACATAATTTTTAAAAATTATATTTGTAAAATTTCTCTATTGTGAATAAAGTCTGTTAATATATCTCCTCATGCGTTTTGTCTTTTCCTTTTACCTAATCTGTGTACCTAGGGTCAAGTATTTATAGTTGTGAGTCGAAGGATGGACCCTAAGAGCCTTACACAACTACGCTGCGCAGTGAGAGGGTCTCAAGGAAACATTTCCCAGGAAACCTCACGTTGCACATGGTTTGCAGCCTTTGGTTAATCAGATGCTTTTATGGGAAGCTAACCTACATCAACACCAGGACGTACAGGCGAGCGCGGGAAGTTCCGTCTGAAGCTGGAAGGCGTGACCCAAAGAGATCAGATTCCTCGCCCACTGCAGCTTTCCAGGAGAAATGCAGGGGGCAGGAAGTCTATAGCAGGGGCTGGGCTCGGTAAGAAAGAACCTCGGCTGAGGAGCCTTCCATACCCTTGAAGAAGCCCAGGTTTTCAAAGTTATTTTGTGCTTTGTTCAGACATCTTTGTCGCTCCTCTGCTGCCTGGAATTCTGGCCAGGCCCCCTGTCAGAGTGGCTGCTGACCCCAGGCAGAACTCCCAGCACCCTTTTCCTTGCCTTATTTTGTTTTCTACTTAATATTTGTTATATACTCGATTCCTTGTTTGTTTGTTGTACATCTAACCTGTCTAAACTCCATGAGAACAGAGATGCACGCACGAGTGCACGCACAGGCCCTGCCTGGTTCTGTTTCCCATGCAGTACTTAGGCCTTGGGAGCACACCGTGAACATTTAACTGAGCTCCACCTTGCATTCTGCTGCACTATTTGCAAATGTCTTTTAATGAGCAATTTAAATATTAAAATAAGTTTATATTTGTGACTGGAATCGACTCTAACAGATTTACTTACATCATTCAGGTGTCTCACATGACCCTGTATAGAAATACCACGAACAGCCACGTTTCCTCCAGCCTTAAGGTCGCTTCATCGTTACTGCTTCACGAGCCTCCCATTGCTCTGTATCCCAGAATCGCACACCTACTCAGGAGAGATGTAAACATAAACAACTTTCAGTAACGTCCAGCAAAAGAATTAGTTTTTCACCTAACAGTCCAATGAGACCCTTCTGAACTCACGTATTTGTAGCACAAATGGCACCAGCTGTATTTAGTCTCTCAAATTTGTTAAAATGTATTCTCAGCATGGTGCTGTACTTTAGTCACTAACTATTGCAGACAGGTAGGTAGGTAGAAGTGTTGCACAGGCGGCACACAGGGCAGGGTGCTGAAGGGAGTCGGCGCGGAAGGTGAGAACGCCTTACACCTGAGGTGCATCTGTTGGCGGTCAGGCCTCAGGATAAAGACAGAACGACCAGGCCCACATCCTCCCCAAGATCAGATCACCACATTGGTATCACATGGCCCACGAAGTCTAGACAGACATCAGTCACCTGGGGGGGTGACCAAGACCCCAACCCACCCCTTCCTAAAGAAGGTCTTTGTTCTTTCCCTGCACCCTTGCTACGTGACCTGCTTCCCCCTTGGGCCATTATGAACTAAGCAACTGTACTTTTACTGGTTGGTCATAGTTCTAACCCACATTGTCCCCACCTTGTGATTTTGCTCTACAAACCTTCCACTGAGAAGTGGGCTCGTTGGCAAGCCGCTTTCAGGTGCCCTCTCAATGGAGAGCTCTCTCTCTCTCTCTCTCTCTCTCTCTCTCTCTCTCCCTCTCTCAATGAAGCTTTTCTACTCATCCTCCATTCCTCAAATTGTTCTTTGATTTCAGAGAACACCAACTCGGTGTGTCTGACATCTTGCAGGTAGAGAGTTGCATTTATTTCCTCTATATCACAACCACCCACACAGAAATGGCACTGAGGAAACCAACACATCTAATTTCTGATTGCTTAGAATTCTAAGGAAAGTGAGCGAGATGAATCATTTCTTTGCTTAGACGTAGAGTGCGTGTATCCAATTGCCATTCCAGATGCTGGGTTGTTTCTCAGTGTGAGGTGGCACAGGAAATCTTACTTAAAATCCTGACTAACTTCACGGTGCAGAGGCTGACTGCCACTTTTCCACACTCATTCTGCCTGCGCCAGACGGTGCATGAGTCATGGTTGTCTAATTGCCCGGCTTCAGAGATATTCAAAGCATATATGTAGAATTGCAGACAACATCTAGTCCAACTTCATTTAATCTGAGGCAATTGGGGGAGTTCCCCAAAGTCAGGAACTGTTTTTCATCTTTGTTCTGTGCTTGTACACACAAGGATATAGTAAGATTTTATGCTGATGAAGAATGGGAAATGGACATAGAGGTAGCGACTCCAAAACAAAGGTGTGGATTCAGAGTCCACCCTCAGCAGTGGATCTACAGTTGGGTTTCCTGAGGGGTGGGCTACAGCAGAATGAGTGGAAAGGCTGGGGAAAATGCAGATTCCAGAGTCTTTCCCCAAATTAATAAATCAGAACTGTGGTGAGGTCTCTGTGCTATTCCGGTGCCTGCAAACGCTGAGAACCACGACTTTAAGGAAAGGTGGATGAAGTCGAGGACTGGCAGAGGATGAACAGGTACTATGTGATCATGACAAGCAGATGCTCCTCTGCACATACTTTGTCTCAAAGTTCAAGTAAAACGTGATGATTCTGGTCACTTCAAAAATCGACTCACCCTCTCACAAAAGCATTTCTGAGCACCAAGCCAGACATCTGAACCTAGAGATGCATTCATTCACACTTCATTTTAAGACATAAGTTTTTCCTATTAGGGGACCCTCAAAAGCACAAACTTCAGTCATCCCTGTTTTTATTCTGTGATGATTTCATTTGCTTTATTCCCTCAATAGCTGCTTCTAAAGTCATTTCTCAAGTTGCTTCTGTTCTGTTCTTGAACTGACTATCACTTGCTCAGCCTACACAGGATTCCTGGTTTGTGCCTCCTGACAGGATGTAGGATGTTCTTGGCAGTGCCCTCTGGTGGGACCTTCATCTCCCTGCCCGACATTTACATGCTCATCAGCAGAGATAGCCTGGCTCGCCATTATTATGATCATTCTGAATGCTTATTGAATAAATTAACTTAAATTTGTGTCACAGATTGATTTAATTCTCCAGTGAATGCAAATTACCACAAAACATTGGAAACCAGTGATAGATGCATAGCTTTTTTAAAAAACTTTTCCACATCCTGGAGTATTTTGGCCTTAGGCTCTGAGCACATATTAATTCATGGCTCATTCCCCCTACAAACAGGGCCGTAACCCGTACAGCTTTTCAAATCACATTTTTCAAATGACTGGCACCTGGGAGTTTTGGGTTTGTTTTGTTTTGTGGTGTTAAGTCTCTTAGGAGAAACAAGTGAATAATCATTCCCAGACTCTAGGGGAACTGTGTTCCTTGTTTTCCAGCTCTTGGAAATCTCTGAGGAAAACAGCACATAAGTTGGAGTCGAGCCCGGAGCTGGGAGGGCGGCCTCCCCATGGCATCCTGAGGCTGCGGCCTGGGGTTCTGTATCTCGGGACCGAGAGGCACTCAGTCACTTCCTTCCACTCTGCCTCAGGAGAGCACTTTAACCACTGTTGCATGAACTCAAAGAGCACTTCTCTGCCTTGCCATCTTCTTTCGCCAAAATGGTAACTTTAGGATGTGCATAGCCTTTGCCAGGTCTCAAAAATACAAACCATTTAGATGTCCCCGCATATATCAAGAAAATGTCTCTTCTCTGCATGTGATGCAGTACAAAAGAGGGAGAAAACTGGTGCATTTGGGCCAGCGGGAAGTTGACTCTGCTCCACACAGCTGTGCCCACGCCCTGTGGGACTTGAACTCAAAGTCCTCGTGTCTCGGCGTCCTCACCGGGAAGGGAAAACTGTGATGGGCCCAGGAGAAGCCGCAGCTGTGCCTCCTGTGACTCCTGTCCTACAGGCTCAGGTGAGATGGCAGCACACACACTCAGAGCACAGTGGGCCATGTCACCACCATGCCACAGGCAGCAAGAGGCAGTGTCCTCAGCCACCAAGTGCAGACGTCAGGGCTCCTTTCCAGAGAATCGAGCACATGAACACGGCATAGGCCTATCTCCCTGACCCCAAATCCAACACTGAAAATGCTCCAAACTCTGCAGCGTCGTGAGGCCCACACCACACTGTAACACTGCATCTCATGAGGGACACTGTTTAAACCAGTGCACGAGCACTGTCGGGCAACCTTGTGTGGATGCCGGACATCTCACAGATGCCCAAAAGCTGGCCGAATGCTGACCACTTCTGCTCAGAGCGTTTCCTGTGCAACCTGTGCGGGGAGAGGTCCTAGTCCGTGCCTGAGTCCCGCCTGTCCTCTACCTGGGGAAGCCTCCAGCTCGCTGCTAGGACAGTGCCATTGCTATTACTCTGTGTGCTGCTTCCAATGGCCTTTGGCTTTTTTGGATGCCTTTCTTCAACCAGACTGTTGCAAACGCAGGACCACAGTCCAGCTCCCACTCTCTCACCTGCAAAGATGGAAACAGCCAGCTCTTTCTCGCCACACTTGTATCACAGGCTGAGTATTTCCATGTATTTTTACTGAGGGACAGAGAGGGTTCTGTTAGC